AACTATGCTGTGTAAGATACTTTTTTTTAAAAGAGGACTCACACCGAGATAGCAGTCACAGGACACCTAAATCTTTCAGAGAAAGAGAATTTATTGTTCCATTATCAGAAGAAATGAACTTCTTCCTGCCTCGCTCAGCTCTGAAGAGCTCTCAGGATTCAGAGAAAGAAGCTGACACTGCCCAGACAGAATCCTGTGTTTGAATGGAATTTATGCATCATGTATGAAGTGTATGAATATGCAACAAGTTATTGCTTTTAAGGGTTAATCCTCTGTTAACTGTCCTTTTTTGGGCTTATTTTGCCTAGAAAGAGGAAGCTGGACTGTCTGTAACTCTTTGTTTTTATTGTCTTGTGTTGTCCCAATCCAAATTGTCCAAATTATTATTACTCTAATTATATTACTATTTTTATAACCATTTTATTACAATTAAACTTTTAAAGTTTTAAAAACAAGTGACTGGCATTTTTCACAAGCAGGATGCAGGGTTTGCAGCAACCGGTGTGAAATGCTTTTACCTTCACAAATAGAACTCGTGGAAGGGTGTGAAAGGTTTTTATTCTGCACACACCTGCCCTGGGCCAGGGAGGGAATGGGTGGCTGTCCCTGCCCACAGCCGGGTGCTGGGATTGTCCCTGCACCTCCCTGCCAGGCTGGTGGCAAACAAGGCTGGGAGGGCTCAGAGTGTGCCTGGGGAGCCAGCACAGCCTGGCTGGGCCATCAACCACTGCACGTTTGGCTCCAGTGATGCCTCAAGGCTGGCCTAGAACAGAGGCTGCTCAGAGTTAAAGAGTAAAGTAGGGGTTTATTAAAAGGATCTCCTCAATGGATCCACCTTGGGCAGCACAAGAACCCAGCCAGGCTGCACCCAAGATGAACCAAAATGGTCCCAAAATGCATGACCAGGCACGGGGTCTCTCCCTTGGATCAGTTCTGCTCCATTTGCATCTTGCAGTTCATTGTCCCATTCCAGCTTTAGCCCATCCAGTCCCATCCTTGTTTCTCTCTCCAGCCCACAGTGTTTGTGCTCTTGGGCTGAGATTTGGATCATTTGTCCTTGGTGCCCAGCTGGAGCAGGAATTGTTTTGTCTCCCTGCTCTCTGCACAGAGCTCAGCATCCCCTCATGTGAAGGCCAGACCCACACACTAAAGCAGCACAGAATCTGAAAAATAGAAAAGCCAAAACCTGAGGCATCACCAGGGCTCTCCCACTGTGCTCTGGGTACCTGGCACCCCTAAAGGATTTCACTGCAGTCACAGTTGGATTTGATGATCTTGGAGGTCTTTTCCAACCTCAAAGATTCTACAAATCTGTAAGGAAAAAAAAGAACAGTGAGCATTGTGAGTTCAGCATTAAACCAGCCATGAATGAAAAGCAGGGCTGTGTTGGGAGAGGGGAGATCCCTGGGCTGGTCAAGGGGCAGCAGGGAAGGGCTTTGTACTCTGAGAAGCACAAAAGCAGCTTTTGCAGAGTCAGCTCCTCAGATCTGTGGGTATTTGTGTTTTCATTCATCCCCCTGCATCACAATTCTTTGTGCAAAGCAGGGATCGTGCCCTCTGCTTTCACAGGGACTGGGAAGATGTTCCTGTGTATTTGTAGAACACTCCTGCTGTGTATTTACAAGGGCACAAGGAGAATCACGAGGAAATGAAGAGCTCAGTATTCAGAGCAGGCTCTGAGCAGTGCAGGCACCCATTCCAGGGGAATCTGAGTGTGGGATTACCTGCTCAGCGTGGGGCTGGGCTGGTGGCACAAACCTGTCCCTGTGTCACTCAGTCCCTGTGGGGATGTGCCAGCACCCAGAGGCCACACTAACCTTTAATGGGAAAAAAAAACAAAGAGTTTTTGTTTGCTGGTGGTGTCATGCTTGGTTTTCCCAGCTGCTCCTCCCATCCAGGTTTTGCCCAGCTTGGACCTGTATGTATATTTTATAAGAGGTCTGCTAAAATGTGTTACTGCAGAAATAAAACTAAACACTGCTTCATTTTTAATGAGCCATCAGGGAGCACGTTATTGCTTGTGTGTTGGAGTGGTTTTCTGCTCCCAGGCCGTTTATACCAAAATGTCTTGGAGGGAAAATTGTGATTAAATTTCTTAAGAGATACCTGTATTTGTGCTGAAAGCCTCTCTCAGCCAGGAGTGGGGCTGTCAGAGTCGCTGAAAGTGAAGCACAATTCAACATAAACAGGCAGCCTTGAGAACCATCAACAGAATATTAAATCAAAATAGTGATTTACTGTGTATTAACTGCCCTGTGGTTTCAGCTCCAGCCAAGAACAGGCTCTGAACTCTCTGTGCAGAGATTTTGCCTTGGTGGGGGGAGATAATAAAAGTGGAATCATGGAATGATTTGGGTTGAAAAGGATCTAAAAGCTCATCTCATTCCATCCTGCCATGGGCAGGGACACCCTTCACTGTCCCAGGTGGGACAACCTGGCCCTGGGCACTTCCAGGGATGGGGCAGCCACAGCTTCTCTGGACACCCTGTGCCAGCACTCTCCCAGGGAGGAACTTCTTCCTCAGTCTTTTAGTGTAAAATTATTCTGTCCTGTCCTATCACTATCTGCCTGTATAAAAAGTCACTCTCCATCTTTTCATAAGCGACCTTCAGGCCCTGGAAGGGGCTCTGACCTCTCCTGGAGCCTTCTCTTCTCCAGGTGAGCACCCCCAGCTCTGCAAGCCCGGCTCCAGAGCAGAGGGGGCTCCAGCCCTTGGAGCAGCTCCGTGTCTCCAGCCCTTGGAGCATCTCTGTAACTCCAGCCCCTGGAGCACCTCTGTAACTCCAGCCCCTGGAGCATCTCCGTGTCTCCAGCCCTTGGAGCACCTCCGTAACTCCAGCCCCTGGAGCATCTCCTTGACTCCAGCCCCTGGAGCATTCTGTGGCTCCAGCCCCTGGAGCAGCTCCGTGTCTCCAGCCCTTGGAGCATCTCTGTAACTCCAGCCCCTGGAGCACCTCTGTAACTACAGTGCCTGGAGCATCTCCTTGACTCCAGCCCCTGGAGCATCTCCGTGTCTCCAGCCCCTGGAGCATCTCCTTGACTCCAGTCCCTGGAGCATCTCCGTGTCTCCAGCCCCTGGAACATCTCCTTGACTCCAGCCCCTGGAGCATCTCCTTGACTCCAGCCCCTGGAGCATCTCCATGTCTCCAGCCCCTGGAGCATCTCCTTGACTCCAGTCCCTGGAGCATCTCCGTGTCTCCAGCCCCTGGAACATCTCCTTGACTCCAGCCCTTGGAGCACCTCTGTAACTCCAGCCCCTGGAACATCTCCTTGACTCCAGCCCCTGGAGCATCTCCTTGACTCCAGCCCCTGGAGCATCTCCGTGTCTCCAGCCCCTGGAGCATCTCCGTGGCTCCAGCCCCTGGAGCATCTCTGTGGCTCCAGCCCCTGGAGCATCTCTGTGGCTCCAGGCCCTGGAGCATCTCCGTGACTCCCTTCTCACCAGCAGCTCCAAAACCAAACCCTGCCCGGTCTGGCCGTTCCGAGCTGCACGGGTCCCCGTTCTCTGCCGGCCCCGAGGCCACAGAGCTGGGTTCCGTTCACCTCCCGTTCCCAGGCTCCGTTCCTCTCCCATTCCCAGGCTCCGTTCCCCTCCTGTTCCCAGGCTCCGTTCCCGGCTCCGCTCCCGGCGGGTCCCGGCCGCCGCTGCAGTCCCAGCTCCTGCCGCACGAGGGCGCTGTCCCTGGCGGGCCGTGCCCCACGCGGCGCTCTGGCCCGCGGCTGCTCTCGGTGCCCTTCCGGCCGCGCTTCCGGCCGCGTGGGGCTGAGGGAAGGCCGGGGGCCATGGCGGGCACGGGGGCCCTGAGGGAGAGCCGGGACCATGGCGGGCACGGGGGGTTGTAGGAGGGAGAGTCGGATCATGGTGGGCACGGGGGGTTGTAGGAGGGAGAGTCGGATCATGGCGGGCACGGGGTGCTGAGGGAGGGTCGGGGCCATGGCGGGCACGGGGTGCTGAGGGAGGGTCGGGGCCATGGCAGGCACGGGAGGTGCAGGAGGGAGAGTCGGGGCCATGGCGGGCACGGGGTGCTGAGGGAGGGGTCGGGATCATGGCGGGCACGGGGGGGTGCAGGAGGGAGAGTCGGGATCATGGCGGGCACGGGGTGCTGAGGGAGGGATCGGGATCATGGCGGGCACGGGGTGCTGAGGGAGGGTCGGGGCCATGGCGGGCACGGCGGCACTGAGGGAAGGCCGGGGGCCATGGCGGGCACGGGGAGTGCAGGAGGGAGGGTCGGGGACATGGAGCTGAGGGTCAGCGGGGTGTGGGGTGTTGGGTGCGGGGAGGGGGCTGGGGGAGATGAAGTAGGGGGGGTCTGGAGCACTGGGGGTAATGAGGGTCGGGGGCAGAGTGTGGGGTGCAGGAGGGGCGGTAATGGCTGCTGCGGGTAAACAGGGGCTGGGGGCGGTGTGGGAAGTGGGGGACATTGGGGGACTCGGGGTTTGGGGTTTGAAGGGGTGCAGAGTGGGTGGGAAACGAGGTACTGGAGTGCAGGGTATGGAGGTCGGGGTGCAGCTGGATTTGGGGGTGCAGAGGGGTTTGGGATCAGAATGGCAGGTATTGAGGTAAGGGGGGAGGGGTGTGGGGTTGCAGGGGCTGCTGCATGGAGCTGGAGGATGGTGTGGGAGGCAGGGGCAAACGGTCTGGGGGGCTTGGGATGCAGTGAAAGGGGGTAGTGAGGGCCTGGGGGATGGGGTGTGGGGTTCTGTGGTGGGCTGGGGGAGGCAGCTGTGGGGAGTTTTGGGGGTGCAGGGGGAATGTTGGGTAGTGGGGGCCTGGAGTTCATGTGGGGGGGTACAGTGGGGGCTGCAGGATTTGGGGTCTCTGGGGGCTTTGGGACTGTGTAGGATGTCTGTAGGAGGGCTGGGGTGCTGTGCAGGGACAGCTCTGGGGTGTGGCTGCTCCCCAGGGAGGTGTTGGGCTCACAGCAGGGTGGGAGAGCAGAGTGGGGCCCGTGGGGTGTAAGGGGTGAGCTGTGTGGTGGGGAGGGTTCCCCAGGGCCAACAGCCAGAGCAGGGTTTGTTTTTGCTGTGAGTGTCCCAGAACTTTGTGTGTCCCAGGGTGTCCTGGCAGGGCTCAGCCCCACATGGTGACACGGGTGGCACTGGGTGCTGCCCTTGCTGAGGTGAGGGAGCAGCAGGTGAGTGGTGGCAGCCCTGGCAGGGGTACAGGGTCTGTGGGCTGGGGAAGGGCTGCTGGGTGGTGCCAGCCAGCCTCACCCGTGCCCGAGAGCAGCTCCCAGGTGGGCTCCGTGCTGGGCCTCACCTGTGCAGTAACAGGTGTGAACATTCATGAAGCATTTTGATGGTCATGTATGATACTGCATACAACAGCTGCACCCCTAATCCCAGGAAAAACGGGTTAGATTGGGGGTTTTTAAGGTGTACTGAGTCTTCTTTTGAAAATGTTTTGCAAAATCAAACTGGTGCTCTGTCAAGTATGGAAATGAGAACTTGGGTACTTGATTTATCACTAGATGCTGTTTGAGTTGCAACTTTGTTCCCCACGTAGCAGGGAACAGTGATAAGTGGTTTCTGCACTTGAGCAAATGTAAGGCTTTGTTGGAAGTTGTGTACTTTGCTCTCTTGTTTACATGTCTGGTTTGTCTCCTGCAGGGGGGTTCACCTGAGGACACCTCAGGGCTGTGTGCCCTGGCAGGTGTGGGAAGGGAGAGGGGAGGGCCTGTGCTGGGAACCTGGCAGCACAGTGATCCTGGCTCCTGGCAAACATTCCCTGCCAAAATAACAAGTGCTTTTCCAGTTCCTTCTTGCTGTGGGATGGGTGATGTGGCTCTGGAAGTGGTAGAGATGCTTTTGGGAAGGATTTTAGGGAGAGCTGGGGTGGATGATGCTTCAGTTAACACTGATCCAGGGGAGGTAGGTATGTGTAGGATGGGGGCTCTGGCTTTAGCATTCCTGGCTGGACATCTTGGTTTTTTATTTCCAGGTGGCTGGACCAAGAGGTGATTCTGCAGGATGGTGAGAGCTGCTCTTGCAGTTTGGTAATTCCTGTGTGGTCTTTTTGGGGTATCACAGAATCATAGAAGGGTTTGGGAGTATAGAGACCATCTCCTTCCACCCCCAGCCATGGGCAGGGACACCTTCCACTATCCCAGGTTGCCCCAAGCCCAGTCCAACCTGGCTTTGAATATGTCCACAGTTTATCTGGGTGCCCTGTGCCAGGGCCTCCCCACCCTCCCTAATTCCCTAATACCCCATCTAACCTTTCCCTGTGCCTGTTGAAGCCCTTCCCCTTTATCCTGGCACTCCATGCTCTTGTAAAAAGTCCCCCTCCAGCTTTCCTGTGGGTTATAGAAAGCAGTTGTGCCTATTTGGATAGTGAATGTGAATAAAATTGATTTTTCAAAGCTGATTTTCTTTCCTCTTGTTTAATCCTTTTGTGCCTGAACACTGTGGGAAGGTGTTTGCCTGCTGCAGGTGGCTGTGCAGCAGTGACACCTGCACTGTCCCCGGGGCTGTCACACCCTGCAGATGGGCCCCAGCCCTGCCTGGGGAGCTGTCAGGCAATGGGATCCTGAATTGAGCTGTGGGATTTGGGATTATCTCGGTGTGCCGAGCTCCCACCTCCACTAGAGGGTGTGGAGCTCCGCAGAATCCTTTGTTTTCACGGAAATGGGAGAACCGGGAGCCTTTCTGTTATCGGATGTGCAGGCAGCGAGGCCGTGGCAGGATTACCTCCCTCGGGAGATCCTGCTCCGTGCCCTGGCAGCAGCCCAGGCTGCATTACACAACTGCCAGCCAGCCCGGGGCATGCCATGGGATGTCCCTGGCCAGCCTGCAGCCAGCAGGAGCAGCTGGAGTGTGCAGGGGAGGCAGCTCTGCTGTAGGTTGGATCAGGTCGTGCCCAGCTCCTGGATGAGGTTTCCTGGAGGGATAACTTGCACATTCCAAGTTCCCTCTCCTTTTTCTTGGGGAGGAAAATGTATCTAAACAGCAGGGACCAATGTTTCACTTGCACAAGAGCCTGGCTCCTAGATTTCCTTTCCTGGAGGGAATTTCCACTTGCTCTGCAACCTTCCCAAGCCAAGCCCAACACCAGTGTGCTGTGAAATTCCATCAGGCTGTGCTGCTTGCTGGGCTGTGTGTGCTCCCTGTGCTTGTAGGATGTGCTGCTCAGCTCGAGGTTGGCTCCTTGGCCAGGTGTAGGATTTCTTCCTTGCTAAATTCTGCCTCCAAGTGTCTCACTAAGAACAAAATCCTGAGCAGAGCTGGACCCAGCATTGCCCTGCTGCAGCACTGAGTGCCTGAGGGAGCACCCAGAGGGGAGCTGGGTGTCTGGGTGAGCAGGTGGTGCTGTGGCTGTGGAGGGACACAGGCGATGTCAGAATTCAGGACATCCCTCTGGCTGTCCTGGAGTGCCAGGACCCCTGCCAGGGGCTCAGAGACCCTGGCACAGAGCCCAGGATGCCTGTGGTTTGGATTATGACCCATGGAGCAAGTTAGCAGCCTTGGATGAAGATCTGCAAGCCACGAACATATAAGTAGAATAATAATCAGTTTGTCATGGGATGAGAAATAGATTTTTGGGGTTTTTAGAATGGGGGTTCAGGGGGCAAGATAGAGGAATCTGAGCGTGTCCAACCTTTCTCCTTCTTCTTGGCCTCCATCTTCTGCTGTGGTGTTGGCACTTACAGATTGGTTTAGAGTAGAAGCTCACTGTCTAACATAGGTGATAGGTATTGGGAAGTAATTGTAAATATTGCACACGTAGTTTTTAGTATAAAAAGATAACACCACCCTGGGGGCAGGCACAGTGCCTCTGACTGTCTTGCTGAACAGACCTCACAGACCAGGAGAAAGAATTTTATAGATAAGAAACAATAAACAACCTTGAGACCAAGAACTGAAGAGCTCTGACTCCTTCTTCGACCGCTGGGCTGGAAAAAGAGACTTTCTAACACATCTTGGGGTCACTGAGCAGCAAAAGTCCTGAGAAGGCTCCTCTGCAGCTGCTGGTACCGTGTGGGTCTGTGACATTTTGGAGCTGGATCCATGTGGGAGGGGAGCAGCTCCACAGGCAGGTGGGGTGTGCAGCTCTGTGGTGTCCGGAGGCCCGAGGCCTCCACGTGCTGCCAGGGATGTCCAGTCAGAGCCTGGGCATGGGAAGAGCCAAGTGGCCTCTCCAGGGACCTTCTTGGAGCAATCCTATGGGTAAATGCCCTAGAGGGAGGAGGGGTCCCAGAGAGCTGGGTTATATCCAAGGATCACTTCCAGACTCAATAACATCCCTATGGACAAGGAATGGAGCAAAAGGGGCAGGAGAGCTGCAGGGATGGGCATGGAACTCTGTCAGGAGAGACAATGAGGTGGAAGAAGGGGCAGGATGAGCACAGGGATGGTGTCTGAGTGTGCTCTGGTGTGCTCATCCATGGCCAGGAGCGCTGATGGGAGGGAGGTCAGAGACCGTGTCCCCCCAGTGCCAGATCCTGGTGCAGAGCCAGCTGTGGAGCAGCAGCCAGGATCATAACCCAGCCAACCAAATCCTCCATCAGCTGAGCATGACCTGGATATTTATGTGAGTAAGGAGGAGGAAGGAGGCAGAGGTGTTTGCACAGGCACCTGTGTTAAACCTCAACTGCAGCCAGGCCAAATCCCAAGCACTGGGGCTGTGCTGGGGTCTGGTCAGACCCTGTGGAAGGGGAGCATCCCTCCCTGTGGGCAGGGGAGATGCCCAGGCTGGGGGGAACAAGCTGAGGGCAGCTGCCAAGGTGGGGCAGGTTGGTGAGCTATGAGGAAACCTCTTTATCCTCCAGAGCACAGCCCAGAGAGGGCCTGGCTGTGCCTGGGGTGTCTCCCCTTGCACTGAGCCCAGCCCCACTCCAGGGCTGCCTTCTGCTCTCCCTGCTCTGCTCCTGGTTTGTGCTGAGGCTGGAAGAACTTTGAGCTCTGTGCCTGGCTGGACCTGAAGCTGGGGCAGCAATCAGTTCCCACTGTCTGTGTGAGGTAAGGGTTTGAACCTTGCCCTGTTGGAAGTGGACTGCTCTGATCTCTGCAGGAATTGTGAGTGTGGAGATTAAAGGCTGTGGCCACTTCTGCTGGGTAAACAGCCAGAGAACTGTGGCCTGTTTGCCACCTTTCCTCTCCCTCCACCCCCCAGTGAAGATGCTCTGGCAGCTCTCTTGGAGTGTGACATCTGGGAATAGCACTGGCAACCACAGTGCAGCCCAGCCCACTTGGTGAAGGCTCACCTCTGCTAAGAGGCTGCTTTTAGCTGCTCCCTCAAGAGCTGTTTTTAGGTCTGGCTGTAGCACTGCTCTTCCCTCAGCAGCAGCTGAAGTCCTTTGGACACAAGCTGCAGGAAGGACACGTTTGGTGTCTCACTGCCCTGACCCTGGGGAAGGATGAGGCTGGGCTGGGCACAGCCTGAGCATCCTCAGAACTCCCAGCTCCCACCAGAGCCAGGACTGCATGGCTGGAGTTGATGCCAATCATTGTGCTGTGGTAATAAAGTGAGGGGGCAAGCAAAGAAAGCTTAAAAAAAAATATTTTTAAGCCATAGCTAAGAAATCTCCAAGTTGGACCTTGCAGTCAGAGGTGAGCAGGCTTAATTTGACAGCTATTTCTTAAATATTTTAAAAGCTGCCTGGAATAAACTGAATGCTTCCGAGTAGTGACCTAAATTCCAGTTGCTGTAAATTTCATTAGAAAGTGGATTTGTGTGCCTGCCAGGCTGCTTTGCAGCTTCATTGATCTGCCCAAACCATGTGCTGTGCAAGTGCCTTCCTCAGCAGATTTTTAAAGAGCTGACTGCTGCCTGCTGCCAGCCCAGAATGTGACTTGTTTCCTTTCTTTTCTCTCCTCTTCCTCTCTTTTTTTGGGTTTGTTTTTTTTTGGGGGGGGTTGGTTTGGTTTGTTTTTTTGTTTTGTTTTGTTTTGTTTTTTGTTTTTTGGGGTTTTTTTGTTTCCTGGTGCAAATGCATGATTTGTTTACTAATCACATTGCATCATTAGTTGCACAGAGTCATCCCACTGGCTGCGTGGGCACGGATGGAGCAGCTGGGAAGGAAAATGTCACTGTCTTCAGCTCACTTGATGTGCTTTGCTCCCAAATTCCCATTCCACGCCATGAGGGCCAAAGACTTTCACAACCCTGGCAGCTGCCAGCAGCTCTCTGCTCTCCAGCACTGTCACCTGTGGTTGTGACACTGCCTGGAAAAAGCCTCCTCTCCTCCTGCTGTCCCCAAGTGCTGTCTGTCCCTGTGCAACCACGGCTTTGGATCTGTGGAGAGGTGTGATGGTAGCACAGATGGCACAGACTGAGCCTCACCAGGGAAAATAGCCTGGGGAGAGCTGGGACTGCCACACCTGTGGATGCAGGAGCAACATGCGCTGCCCCAGGCCTGACAGGGTCACACAGGTGATGCTGAGCTCCCTTGCTGTGCTTGCAGCCCACCTGCAGGGGTTAAAGGGGGTGGAGAGGGGCTCTGTGCAGCACCTCAGGGACACAGGACAGAACCACAGCTCTCTGTGACATGTTTGGTTTCTCTCCTGCAGTGGAGAGAAACTGTGTTCAGCTCCTGTGTTGTCAGGCACAGAGCAATTGCCTGAAGCACTGGGTGAGGGGAAAGCCCCTGTGGCCCTGCCTGCCCTGTGGGAACCCTATCCCGGGGCTGTCCCCCTGCCCCTGGCACTTCTGCTCCTGGGGAACCCCCAGCCTGGGGAAGGGCTCCATCACAGTATGAAACCCAAGTTTTGGAAGCTCCATGGCCTTGCTGTGTTTTGGGGGGGTTGTGCTGCAAATAAAGGCCTAACCCCAACCCCATCCTACAGGAATGAAGTGCTGGCCTCTGGCAGGAGCTCTGACAGCTCTTCCCAGTTCACAGCACGAGGCAGAGCTGGCTTTTGAAGAGGAGCCTTCCTGCCCAAGGACAGTCCCAGCACTGCCAGGCTGGAGTGGAAAACAGCCCTGGCAGCAAGCCCAGGGGTGGGTTTGGGCCAGGAGGGCACGCTCATGTTGAAGGGATGTCTAAAGGGATTGGTTATCACAGAAATGGTCTCCAGAGGGTGAGGTTACAAAACATGGGTTTCCCTCATTCCCCTTCCTGTGCAGCTGGGAATATGGGAGGGACTGGAAATACCCCAAACCCATCCAGAGGGTGTCTAATGTCAAGCATGGAGGTTGGAGAGAAATATCCCCCTCTTCTAACTACTGCCTGTGACTGAACATTGTGAAGACACGTCTGGAGGGGGATTTGGTGCTTCTCTTGCTGTGTGGGTGATGGAAGTGGGAAGAAATCCCTGTCTTGGAGCTGTGGAACATGGGACTGTCCTGCCTCCTGATGAGGAAGGGGCTTTTTTGGGCTGAGTTTTGGCCCCCAAGCAGCAGCAGCCTTTCCACTGCCTTCCCTTCCC